TTATGATACTATACATGATGTCCTCCACCCCAGAACGTTTCCATGGTTCCGGTTTTGGGGTGTGACATTCAGACATTCGCACCAGGTAGATCTCGCAACCTAACTCTCGCATACAAACCCTTACTTTCGGACCGAACACCTTCGCAATCGAGACCTCTCACTACGAACCAGACACTTTCGCATGCGGACCTCCCACCTTCTACACTTTCGACTGAAACTCGCATCCTTCAGACTTTCAGCAGCCTTTGCGTATTCGCTCCCCATTTCGGATTTTGAGCAGTTTCACACTTTACATCATTTTTATGAGTTTTTGACGTGAGATTTACATCAAAATCATATTTTTCACATCCTAGACCCCCTAAACTCATATTTTATCCACATCTTGAAGATTTAGTATATATAAATCATATTTTTCCTTAAAATAATATCTAAAGATAAAAAGATATTATATTACACAAGTGGGTCAAATAGATCCCCTCATATCACCTTTATGTCACTTCTCAAAACCTCATTGGTCAAATCATTATCCATTACACTCTCCAACACCCAATCCACTTTCTTCCTTTCCTTCCATAAAAGGAAACTCCATGAGAATTAAAATCACTTCTCAATTACTTCCAAAACCCACTTTTCTACAAAAAGAACTCTCACCCTTTTCTCTCATTCCAGCCACGTTTTTGAAATGTTCTTAGGCATTCTCTTCTCTTTTTGTTAAGTATTTCCTCAAACTTCTAATATTTCTACATACCTCCATAATAATCTTAAATCATTTACACACATATTCACATATTAACATTCATAGGATCATCAAAATCTCTAAGCATTTTTCAAATGCTCTCGACTTGAAACTCTTCATCCTCAACCTTCCACTCATCAAGAAATCCAATAAGGTGAGTTCATACCCCTACATTGCGAGGTTTTCCAAGTTTTAGCGGGGGGGGGGGGGGTGGGGATACAAGTTATATCACTAAAACATAATCTAAACTTAAAGGTCGACTTTTCACAGAAAAGTTGGGGTCTGTTCACGGACTGTTTTACCCATCTTAAACTTAGTATTTTTCGAAACTGGTTAATATGTAAATAGTTTAGATTATACATTTCTAAGAACTACTCGTACGCATTCATATGACTTTTCTACAATTTATGGTGATTTTTATAAAACTGTCTATCATTACAAAACAGTTTCGGACCCACATGTGAAAATGAACGTTTTCACTATGGTTAGGGACCACTTTAGGCCAGAATAAAAATTATGGATAAAGTAGACTCGTTTCCTAAGCTCTTACACTTTACGGATCCAGATTTAGACTTACGATGATTTTTCCATAATTTTTCTAAAAACGTGAACAGAAAAGTCAAAAACTAGTAAAATGGGTGTTTTAATACTAAGAGCCCATTTATTTGGTTTAAATATGAAATATTGTTATTTAAAGTAAATTAAACCATTTTCATGTTGAAAATACATACTTATGGGTACCAAAACCTACATTATAATTAACTATTTAAATATAGATTATGAATAGTTAACACCTTTGTAACCTGTTAAGCAAAGGGCATAATTATATAAATTACATATATAATTATTTTACGTCGCTTTCTCTATTATCATGGGAAAAAGGGATAATTACATATACAAACGTTTTCATTACAAAAACAAGTAATCTCATCGAATAAATTTGTTAGACATTGTCTTCATCGTACCTACCGAGGTATAGACGAAAGTCCTGTTTTATAACCAGAATCTCCCAGATGAGAGCGTGGTACTTGTGTATAGATTT